TGCCCTCATGACCCATCAATTGGAATGAGGGTATCCATCTACAATATTTGTGACATCAACCACACCTACGTCGTTTACTTGAAGCACATGAAAGAATTTCTCACATGCGCTAGTCAACAGGAGCTGGCGACGGGTGCATTGGACAAGCAATCTGTCTGAAGACAAAAGCTTTGCCTGACACCTGTGAGTGAAAGCTCGAAGATGTGTCCTGATCATCTGCGACTACTTCGCCTACTTTGACTACATCATTACTTCACCTACTTCGACTACATCAATGTTGTCCGCAAAGGCTCAACTATGAAAATAAGGTGTCAAGGGATGAAGGCCATACCAAGAAGCAAGCTGCCAAAGATAGGGTCATGGAGGTCAGGCGAAGGTTAACAACGAAGGCTGGCCGAAGACTAGCTAAAAATAAAATCATTCATAGATTGTCTCTGTATAGACAAGAGCTGCATGTCAGGACGAGTTGTAATTGGGCCACACTTAATTGTATTTACCTATTAGGTATTGTAATTTCGATCAAAACCGAATAGCTGAGGGGGCTACTGTTGGGGCTTGTTGACGGTAGTTAACAACCATTATAAATCGTCAATATAACATCAATAAGGGCATAAATATAATCACCAATAAAGGTCTAGGGGTTTAAACTAAGAAATCCTATGAGTTTTGGTGAATCTATATTTTTTGTAGGGTTTATCTAGAAAACCGTCAAGGCAGACCAAGATGTCAGATTTAATCACGCTTATCTACAGCGAAAACAACCCCATAAGGTTCCAGAAGACTCGAGAGGACTCCACACAGAAGCGGAGGGCGAGACGCCGACTGGCCCCACCTGTAGGCCGGCCAGCCCCTAGGGCCCACCTGTCAGCCTCCCGTTGTTATGTCGGTTCTCCACCACCTCCTAAATTGCATCTACGCCATTTATTTAAGTCGGTTTGATCCGAGGGCTCAGGATTGATGCTCCGGCCTATATATACCAGCCTCTACCCCCCCCCTCAGGCATTGCATAAGTCATTTGAGAAGACAAAAACCCTAATCATCCTCAGAACTCCATCATATTCTAGGCATAGCTAGTTAGGCTAGGTCTAGAGAAAGGCAAGCAGGCTTCGCTTGGATTTCTGATCTTGTCAAGAGCGTGGTTTGGTATAATCTTTGTACCCCCTCTCTTTTGTATCTCCATTACTTTTATATGTTTGCTACAATTGTTATGACAACATTGATATTCATAATACTCATATTCTTAGTTATGATATTCATCGTCTACTTTGATTACATACTTAGTATAGCTAGTTTATCATTATGTTTATGTATAAGTTCGTATAGCGCTCGCTCAGGTGTACACGGGGTGAGTGGTCAACATTGTGTAAGCGTGGTGCTTATACGATGTTTATCTGCGGATACACCCTATATTCTGGGTCATGTGGTAGATCATGGATGTGACACTCCCATTGAGTCCTTTATAGTCCACTCCCCGAATATAGGTGTAAGTAGGGTCCGGTTATGAAGGAAGAACAAGCTATGTTCTTAATCTTCCTTAGTAATATCAAATGTGTAGATATAAAGATGACCTTAGCCATGACTACTAGGTGTAATTGCACTAATCAATGTATGCTTTGACTTGTAATTAAGAATGACTTAGGAATTATTCCTCTAATATTCTACTTAACCACGCTAATGTCATATAAATGAGTACTCTGAGTGATTTATCATTAATCCATACTTATCATATACATAATTTATCCTATGACTTACTCCTATTGTGAGTAGAATATTGGTTATGGTTTATTTCTCCATCAATAGTATAAGTTATCAATACATGTCCGTGCCAGACCTTCCCTATGGTAAAAATATAAATAACAATACATGGAATACTCTCAGGTAAAGTGCTACAATGGTATATTATCTATGCGCTTACAGATTCCTTTCATTCATTCATATATATATTCTTCCTAGTCGTATAAATTAATAAAGAACTACTCTAGTAGTAATACTAGGTAATACCAACAAGTATTTCTAGCACCAACACTAGGGATGACAACTTAGTAAAAGATGCTAAGGAATGTAAACAATATAGGGTGACTACTTAAAACAAGTGACACATTAATAAATACCAACAGTGGTGTATTATATGTTAGGGACCCCATTGGTGTTTTAGGGCCCAATTACATAGCTTATGGGCTTGTAAGATAAGTTTCAGGGCCCATATGTAGCCCCTAGAGGCTCTATTGTAAAATACAAGCTCCACTAGGATAAATAATAAAAATCTCCCGTCCCACCTTCCCTATAAAAGGAGGGACAAGGGACTTGGCCCTCGATTTTGTTTGCCACTCTCTCTATCGCTCTCTGCTCTCTTCTCTCTATGTTCGGTCCCAGACCAACATTGATCCACGCCATCAACAACCATCAAATTCAATTGCCTTCTGTGTCAACTATTCCTAAAAGTAAATATATTATTTTCTCAAGGAAACATCGAAGAACTATTTTGTACGACAAGCAGATGAAAAGTATTGAAAAGAACAAAAGATGAAAAATTAGAAGGCCTTGACTACTGAACTTTCACAATAGAAATATGACACCAATCACAAAACCCAATCAAATTCAGTCTCGAACAATGGGATAAGTGATACATCAAGCAGTACTAACTACCAACTAGTAGACAATACTAATAAACAAGTCCATGTCAATAAGCTGATGGTGATATCACCAAGACGAGATTTTAGGAGATAGTAGGATATAGACCTTTGATATTGATTCATCTTGCCCGAACATGAAAAACATTCAGCACGGTCCCAATATGCCATTTCCCTACAGAACTTGCTTAATATAACACATGGCTCTTTCCTCTTAATTTGATTGGATGGATAGTAGTAAGCTTCATTTCAGTAGTAGCTGTGACATCCTCTTCAACAGTAGCAGTACCCTCACTATTCCCACCAAGAACATGGGCATCCTCTCTGGCTTCAGTTGTAATCTCACTATTTTCAACAGAAGAAGTGATATCATTTTTAACCCTAACAATAATATCACTATTTTTATCAGTGACCCTAATATCTTCAGTGATCTCACTATTTCAAGCAATAGTAGCCCCAACACGTCTAGAAGAAAAACAGTGTTCCTCATAAGCATGCATTTTCAGATTCTTCCTTCTGCCTCCTGCTACCAGTTGCAAATACTGAGAATGTATTGACAAGATAAAACCAAGGACAACAGCAACGATCAACATCTACAGCGCAAAGTAATACACCCAAACCACATGACTTATAAGGAAGTAGAAGAGATTGATAGGTATGATCCAATATGGAATGCTATGATGGGGCACATGTACTGAGTAGAGATAATCACTCCATGCAACATTAATAGTGAAATGATGAATAAGCAGAAATACAAAATTCACTATATCAAAACTGAAAGCTCCAATACCATGTAATAGACATCATCGTAGGTATGTAAGAATACCAGCCACAACAATTGTGCCACCAAGCAAACGATGACTAAGCGACTAAGGTTACAGTGAACACACAATTTGTATACATCTTTAACCTTTTTCTGTTTCTTGCTTTGGTTATTCGAATTAGTGTAACTACTACATTTGTTGCCTTTTCTATCCCAATGCGCTGACGGTACTCAGCAAGGGAGTAGCCAAACATCCTAGTGAGTTGGCTGACAAGGCTTGCAGCTACAAAGGCTAAGAGGATATCAATGAAGACGCGGGAGAATATATCAATGATGCCTGCTGTAGTTCTTATAGACACAATCAGGAAGAACAATTGTGTGTGCAAATGAATGAGCTCATCCTCCAGACAACAGTGATAGGATCATCCATGGAGACACTCGTAAGCTTTTGGAATGGCAACAGAGCATTGAAGATCACCACCGCCATAATCATATGTGTGTGTGAGGGTATTGTTGTTGATGCCCCATGTGAAGTTACGACGAACATGATGTGTGTGTGTGAGGGTATTGTTGTTGATGCCCCATGTGAAGTTACGACGAACATGCTGAGGATCCATCATCTCCTTGTTCGTATTGCGATTGCCATGGGAGGTGGAGGAGAATCGAAGTCGGGGCATAGTCAGCTTAGCCCTCTTCCCCTTCATTTTGTCCCAAACCTAGTGACGAATGGGGTTTCAATCTCAAGCTTGACCTAGTGACGAATGGGGTTTCAATCTTAAGCTTGACACAAGGTCTTCGAAAATCTCAGGATAATCGTCAGAACGAATCGAGGGCCACATGAGCAGCAAACAGGATGATAGGGGTCACCAACGGGGCATCGCGGGATGGATGGGTGAGCATCTCGCAAAAAAATAACTGCCACGAAGAAAAAATTTGTGAGACCAAAATTTTGATATTTTAGATTTAAAAGTAAATTATTGAAAGCTGTTGATGACTTATTTATTCTCCTACTAATATTTTTTTGACGAGTTAGAAAACTATATGGTTTTGAAAAATTCTTCTCAGAAACTGGATATGCTCTAGTAGACCTTCGTTAGACCGTTTCCAAAAAAAACTCATATGGACACCTAAACCTAAAATGGGTAGCAAGACACCCAAAATCAACATCCAACATAGTACTTATACATGAGACTTATTTTGGGTTGCCTTAGAAGCACAACCCAAATATGGATATCCTCTCTGCTGGAAATTTATTTGCAGAAAGAATTTTCTTTTAGGTCTTATTATTGAAGAAGATGTCGAATAGGTATTAAACTTTTTGCCTATAGCGCTACTTAAAAGATAAATATATTTTGTATTTTAGGTATTGTTGCTGGAGATATCCTTAAAAAAACACGAACAGGCCCTGAGCTGGTGCTGGATACGGACCCTATTTTAGGCAAAAAGAAATAACCTGTGACCCCGCCGACCGCCGTGAGCCCGTAACCCTACCCCGTATAAAACGCGGCAGCGATAGGGCTTCCCTTCCAATTCCATCCATCGCCGCCGAAATCCCGTTGCCTCTCTCGCGCGTCACCAAGCTCTCGAGTTTCCTCGCGGCGACGGCGATGGAGGAGGTCACCGAGGCCGTGAACAATCTCAGCATCTCGGGCGGAGGAGCCGCGGCCGGTGCCGGTGCCGGTGCCGGGGCGGAGGGGCACAAGAAGAACCGCATCCAGGTCTCCAACACCAAGAAGCCCCTCTTCTTCTATGTCAACCTCGCCAAGGTGAGTAGGGGGGAAAATAATCCCAATCTTCTCTTTCGCGGTGGAGCACACAAGAGTTTGCGGTTATTTTGCGATTTGTTGTGGTTAGGATTTCGATTTGTTCCCGGGGTTTAAAGCTAAATAAAAGGGCTTCCCTTTAGTTGGGGTTTTGCCTGACGAGATGTATTTGCCGGCGATTTGACTGGATTTGATCGTATTCTCGAGTATAGAGGATGCAAACAGAGGACTAATCTGCTGTCTGATGTTGTTCTTGTGCAGAGGTACATGCAGCTGCACAACGAAGTGGAGCTGTCGGCCCTCGGCATGGGTAAATCTTTTGCCTCCTGAAGCTTTTCTGTTTATTTGTTATAAATAATAAAACAACTTTCCCGTTCATTTAATCTTCTCATTGCTATGCCTGCGAGTGATTGAGGTTTTGTAGAAGGTTTGTGGAAAGATGTATAGCAATGATTCATTATTCCATCCTATGTACATGATTGTCAATGTGTGGTATCTTCGTACTTGCCAAATGCTGTAGATGGTTACTTTAGTACTTGTTTACTAGTTTAGTGTTCATCTTTTTTTTTATTAGCATATAGGCACTGTATACCTCATGTACAGGAGGATTTATGTATATGTCCATGGCACAACTTTCCTTTATTTTACGTCTGTGGGCATATAGCTCATTGTAGTATTATTCTTTACCACGAGAACAAGTGACAGATACAGAGTAAATGCAGAGCAACTAGCGCTTAGAACAACTAGCGCTCAGATAACCCTAGTCCATATTGACACGATCTGTGGCAGGTGTTTCTTCATGGTGTGAGAGTGTATCCACACAAGGACAGCGGTGAGCTTGTCTGGGAACTAATGTGGCATACAGACATGCAGTAGATGGTATGGAATTGGGCACAGAAGTGGGTGGTGAATTTGGGCCATACGGTGGTGCGATGTGGCATTAAAGGCTTATATAGTATAATGGGGCATATGTTTGCCTTAAGAAGCTTGGTTCAGGACTGGATTTCATGCGTTCTTGGGCCTAGTATCCCCTTAACAAATCAATATTGCCTCCCAAGGCCACGGTTCAAACATAGAAAGTAACTTTGGTTTTTAATTGGTTGTGGTTAGCTTCTCTGATAGAACATGGAAGAGTGTTCCTGACAATCGTTGGTTCAATTGTGGGGGTGGTTTCTCTAGAACTAGGTGAAGTGTTTTAGAGTTCTGGAACTTCCAGTGTATGTGATCACAAAAACTAGTGCCCTCCTTGCTGATGAGAGTTGTTGTTGAAGTCTTATCCTCTGTTGCAATCTGCCATTCTACTTTGGCTACAACTTGATTTAGCCATCATGTACAGCATGTTGCCATCCATTTTGTTGCAAACAAGAATTTGCATCAATATATGCTATGTTAATTCACACTTCAGGCATTGTGTTATGAATCATTTTCCTATTGCTTATGCTCTTTTTGCACTATTGAACCTGCTAACTTTTGTCTTTTACTCTTTTCAGCCATTGCAACGGTCGTGACAGTAGCAGAAATTCTGAAAAATAATGGCCTTGCTGTCGAGAAGAGTGAGTCTTGTTTGTAATAAAGTAAATGTTCATAGAGTTCTGTTCTCTTTTCATCCTAACCTTGTCGAGAATCACATGCAGAGATCATGACATCTACTGTTGAAGTCAAAGATGAAACTAGGCCCCGATCTCTTCAGAAGGCCAAGGTAAATTTGCTTCCCATGGTTAGTGGTTGCACATTTTTCAAGTTTATTTGTTGGACTCCTTTCTTATACTCTTACAATGCGCAGATTGAAATATTGCTTGGCAAGACGGAGAAATTTGATGAGCTGATGGCTGCGGCTGCAGAAGAGAGGGAAGCTAATGAGGCCGAGGAACAAAGCTGAATACCTGCAAGGACCCTGTTGTAGCTTATTTAAGTTCTGCAGCTAGATTTGTCCTCTTCATAGTTTGTCGAGTCGGCAAGAGACGATTGCTTGTATAATCAATTAAGGGCGCAGCTTATTTAGTGTGCTTTTACTTGATTCATTTAGGTTGGAATGGTACAAGTTGTGTTCAGTATGATACTCTTGATTCATCACTATTTTCCATTTAGAAGATATCCCGTTGCTTCTGAGCTGATGTACGTGCATCTTCTGTTTGGTGGTGGTGGTGGTGTTGCGATTTTTCCCCAGATCTCGTTTATACTACAGGTTCCTGAAATCGAGATCGATTTCAAGTGCCTCTGTCGCACCCACCAAGCATTTGGGTCTGGGTTTAGGCTCTGCGGGCTTAGAAATTGCTTGGGGGAGGCAGGCGGAGGCGGCAGGGGTGGAGTGGTGAGGCGATAGGGACCAAGCATTTGGGTTTGGGTTGGTTAGGCTTAGAAAGGGGCTTGGGGAAGGCGGGCAGAGACAGCAGGGGTGGAGTGGTGAGGCAGCAGGGCCCTCGTCGGCCCTGGGAAGAGGACCAGGGAGGAACGGGAGGCATAGGGACATCCATGTGAAGCCTCCGGGTTAGCGCGGCAGGGGACTGGTGCCAGACGTGGCGGCGAGAGTTCGTCCCTGGCTAGACGCAGCGGTCGAGAGGCCGTCGAGGACGGAGGTTATCTAACGGTAGACGAGGGCACATGCGAACGACATGAGACAGATGCTGAAGAACAACCAAGGTAAAAGACAAAGAACATTTCAAGGTAGAAGATGAACAGGAACACCATCCTATCTAAATCTAACAACCTGATTTTTTTAAGAGACACCTACACTATAGCAATTCCTTTTTTTCTCTGATAGGGCAACTCCCCCTTTTTTTAGCCTGACGAGGCAACGATGGCTCCGCTCAAATTTGGTGTTGTAGAGAACAAAAGGCTAGCTTGCCATTCATGTCAGATTCTCAATAAAGGGCGTGTTTGTGACCATGTTTTCTGTTATGACGATGAAAAAAAAAATCCAAGAATCACGTCAAACGCCCTGGCGATGTTGATGATTCTTTCGACCGGGCACCGGGGCCGCGAAAATAAACTAACTCCCGTGTTTCCTATACCGTGGATCGGCGGCCGCTGTACCCATACGGCACTGCACGGTCCACATCCGCGGTCCCAAACAGGCCTAAATACGGGCATACTTATTATATAGCAAAACAAATCAAAGTGACCGTAAGTGATCACATCACAATTTACTAAACACAACGAATTGGACTTGAAAATTGAAATAGACAAATATAGTAATTGTTACACGAAACATGCAACATGACAACAATTCGAGCTCCAGATAGGCAAATAGAGTAGTAAAACGAAACAGGCAACATGAAAACATTAACTTCGACTCCAAACATAGTACACTTTTTTTAAAAAAAATTGAGACAAACATACGACCCGAAAACGCCACATCAAACTCCAAATATACTTGTCCATTCGTTTCCAGTTCCACACTTCACGACATTGCCATCTTCTTGGTCGAGAACTTTTATTATTCAGCCTTCTTCTTGTCCTCGTCTCCGGCGCCGGCTTCATCCTCGTCGTCCTCCTTGTCGACGAGGATCTTCTTGCACGCCTCGTAGCACATGAAGGCGAGGCCGGCGGCGGGCATGAGCTTGATGCAGCTAGGGCCGAGGCCTCGGTACAGGCCGGCGGCGCCCTCCTTCTTGAGGATGCAGTAGATCGCGTGGAGGACGTTCCGGTACACCTGCCTCCCGCCCACGGCGCCCACCTGCATCTGCTTGCGGGCCACCTCCAGCGGGAACGTGGCCGTGCTGGCGATAGCGCCCGCCGCCGACCCGATGAGCAGCGTCGCCACGGCACCCACGTCCGCGCCGGGGCGCCGCCCGGTGGCGCGGCGGTAGAGCCGCTTCAGCATCTCGTAGGCGTAGAAGTTGCAGGCCGCGTACGGCACCACGCCGATCAGGCTGGGTGCCAGCCCACGGTACAGCTCCGACGGGCCCTCGTCGCGCACGATCTTCACGAACGCGTGTGCCACGTTGTCGTATGCGTCCTTCTGCTTGCCATCACACGATGCAATGTGTGCACGCATCCATGCATGGGATTATGGTAGTCAGCAGTGAGACCATTGCAAAAACTTTGCGAGCTGCTGTGTTTGTTGTTGCTCACCTCGATGGTGATCCTGGTCTTGATCAGCTCCATGGGATAGGTGCACAAGGTTGAGGCGAATCCGGCCAGAGCTCCGGCAACCAGCGGCGTGGGTATCGGGATCTTAGGCGGCTCGTCGGCCTTGGGGGTTAGGAACTTCTTTGCCGTGTCATAGGTGAAATGCTGTGCACCACCACCAAGCAAACAAAACATCAGAGCTCAGAGGAAGGTGTAGTAATGGTCACTGATGCACACGACCGCCATGGATTCTGGACGTTCCAGAAACCTGGGTGGGTTGCCGTACCTCGATGGCCTTGCTCGGAGCGACGCGGAGGACGTTGACGGCGTTGCCACGGAACAGGCCGGTCCACCCCTCGTTCTGCATGATCCACCGGAACACCCCGGCCATGGAGTCGACGCCGATGCTGCCGACCATCAGGTGCGTCCGGATCGTCTCCAGCGGCGCCACGAACGTCCTCGACACGGCGCCGGCGATGGCACCGCTAACCAGGCGCCGCAGGTGCGGGTTGGCGATCTTGACCCTCACCTTCTTGCGGCGGCCGCCGCCGCCGCCCTTCTTCTTCTTCTTGGCTGCCTCGTCCTCCGCCTCCCCGGCGGCCTGCTGCTGCTGCTGCCCGGGCACAGCGGCGCCAAGCTGACGCGCGATGTCGCAGTTGTCGGCGGGCCGAGCCTTGGGATCGGGCTCCCGCGGGTCGCGCCCCGACGGGACGCCCGGGCACACGTTGAGCCCGACGCTGGCGAACATCGCCCGGCGGGGGAACTCCAGGCCGTTCTTGCCACATCGTGGCTTCCAAGGGAGAGAAACCGTCGGGACCTGCAAGGACCAGCTCTCCTTGCTCCTGGTCACCATCGTCGTCACTGCCATTGTCGCCGCCATCGGTCAATTCAGAGCAAGTCCTTGCCTGAAAAATACCATGACGACACATGCATATCAACGTAACCGTGCATGTAATCATTCTTATTATGAGATATCATAAAAGGTTCGAAATGGCAACAAACTAAGAATTACCTCGAGTAAGGAAGCTCAATCTGATGCCCTCTTGATGAGGAGATGGCTTCCCTTGTTCTTGAGCCATGCATGGTGGGCAGGGGCGCCTTTTATAGCCATTCCTCACTGTTCATCGTCGTCAGGTGCCGTGTTCACTGAGTACTGACAAAGCTCTCACTCCAGTGGCAATTGTCTTCTATGCCCCTAAGCCAAATGTGGCAGTACTGTACACCGTGTGCTTCAAGGGTAGATTGGTCAGGTGCGAAGAAAGAAGTGACTAGGGTTTCCAAGGGCGCGGAACTGTCGATTTGGCAACCCTCCTGTGGGGCTGGCTTTTCCAGTTGCACAATGCCGTGCACACTGTCGTTGTACTTGAGTGGACGTGCCAAATGTAATCTTGCTTGAATTGGTGCCTTCTGGGGTCTGTTGCACGCTTGCACGTGTCCATGGACTCATTCGCAACAGAAATGGCGTCGGGTTGCTTTGCAGCTTCAGTTAGGAGTTAGGACGTAGGAATGCCCCGGGAGGACGTGGCCAAGGGCGCCCACTGATCCCTAGCATACCGGTGATGGCTATGTGTGGAAAAAAAATTATGCGGCGCCGCCGCACAGAGATCCTGCTGCGACACGGTTTAGATGGACGACGCGTGTTGCTGGCCCACCAAACGGATGCCTGCGTGGTGTGGAACGACGAGTGGGGCCAGGGAACACGTGTTGTGCAACGACGCCGTGTCGTACATGCTTCTCTGTGCAACGGTGTCGTAGAGAATTTTTTTCCGTTATGTGTGGTAGTCATGTTGTAGACACCACTCGGTGTAAGACGCGCCCCGCTGTTTGCGAGAGGGATGCATTCTACAAATGTGAAACTTTGTGTGGTGTTTCGATACATGTTTATAGGTGTGTCCTACAGCTTACACTGTAGTGAAAATGTGGTATTTGAACAACAAGCAAGTGGCAACGGACAACTAAGGGAGGAAGATGATGCTCGTAAATCGCTTGTCTTCTCTAAAGTTATTGTTAGGTAGTGTGCATGCAACACATTGGCAATGGCGTGGCCGCGTGGGGGAAATGGAGTAAGGCTATAGTTGTCGAGACGCGATATGTGTTGTTATTCTAGATGGCCGTTGGGCACTGGTGTATGCGTACACAGCGCATGCATACATCCGGTGGCGGGTGCTCGCCAGCACATGTACGACACAAGCTCACGCAGTGTTTGTTGCCTTGTAGGTGCTCTCATGTGTCACCATATTCCCTACGTGAGGACTGAGAACCTTGCATATTCTACGCATTGTCCAGGGACACACATGGTTCGACCTTTGAGAAACAGATGCCACGCAGTATGTGAGTGTTGTCGCCTTGTTCAACATCGCCAGTGTGATTTTGCATGGTTGATATGTCATTTATTTACAAGTGAGTGCTAAAAACATTGGTATTGACGTGTACTTGATTTCTTCTGATTGGTAACGTACTTTTCGTTTGAGCAAGCAACTCAGCTTCTACGATCATGTTGTCAAGTCACCCCTCTATATGACTGTAGTATTCCTCATATTTATAAGGAATCTTCTACGGTCATGTTGTCAAGTCACCCCTCTATATGACTGGAGCATTCCTCACATTTATAAGGAATTTGCTTAGTGACTAAGGTGGCACAGATCAACTAATAATCTTGTACTGTGGTAATGATGTTTTGTTGGGAATGTGATGGGACATACTCCACGACGTGAATGAAGCTTGAGTGATGCTTATAGAGGAGACATAAAATTTGGGAACCACTCCTCCAACTACAGCTAGCGATTCCAACTTCTATCGATGCCAACA